ACCACTGGGCAACCAGGGAATTCCCTATAGAACATTCCTGAAATGACAAAATTATAGAAATGGAGGGCAAATTAGTGGTTGTCAGGGATTTGAAAGGTGACAAAAAGGCCTCTTGAGGGTGACAGAGCTGCTCCATGTCCTGACTGTGCTGGCAGGTGTAAAAACATACACACAATAAAACTCCACAGAACTAAATATACACATGTGTACACACACACACACACACACACAAGTAAGACTCAGAAAATCTTGAAAAAGGTTAAGTGGATTGTGTATCAGTATGGCTGTGACACTGCACTACAGTTCTACAAGTTGTTGCTGCTGGGGAAATAGGAATGGGACAGTAGGCTCTTTCTGTATTATTTCTTACAACTGCATGTGACTCTACAATTATCTCAAAATAGAAAGTTAATTTAAAAAGAGAAAAATCCTATAGAAGGACAAAAATAGATGTTTTGGCCATCATTTATCTTCTTACAGAGTCATTTCAAATGCACTTTCATGGAAAAAAGTGTTTACTCACTAACTGAATCTTACTGAGACATTAGTACAACCCTCTCCGAGTACTCCTCATAAAGTTCTAAACCTTCCTCTTAAAACTTCTCAAGATCTAATTTTATCTTATACACATACCTGTATTCCCCACTAGACGGTAACCTCCACAGGACAGACTTTTGTTTCATTCAGTTGTATTCCTATCACCCTGATCAAAACTTGCCACTTTGCAAGCACTATAATAAAGGAGTGAAACCAATGGTATTATAAAGTCTCTTGTTATCTACTTTGTGTATTGTCAAATAAAAATGTGTTAACCCACACCAGCTCTCCTAATGGCAAATTTCCAGTACTCACTCCTCTGTGAGCTGATTCAGGTTTGTGGGGTGAAAAAGTATAATTCTGGCGTAAAAACAGTCTTGCCATACACTCCAAAGTTTGCATATGAACTTCAAGTTATCCCCTGCTTTCTGCCATTTGGACAGACAGTCATGGTCCAAACATCTGTAGCTATTTTACTGGTCTTGAAAATATACTCTCAAAAACTGGGAGGTAAAGAAATGTACAGGCTAACTGTAGACTTATTACTAATATTCAGTTAACAGCAGCAACTAATCCTGACCCCTCACTATGTGCCAGACAGTGCTCTGACAGCGTTACATCCAAGCCTGCCACAACTCTGAACGAGGTACTACTATTACCTCCACGTTTTAAAACGAGAAAAACAAGATGCTTAAAAGTTAAAAACTCAAGATCACAAAGGTAGTAGACAGGAGAGCCAGGTCCATCTTAGATGTGTCTTATGCCAGAGTCTTCACTACTAACTAAATCAGCAGAACTGAAAAGTAAGTCTGTTTTGGTAAAATAAATCTGTTGGGTTTCAAATAAAGTATCATATATAAAGTACAAATACTGATATGTAGTTGAGCTGCTAAAAACTGAGCATCTTGAAGACGAAAAGTCTAGCTGGCTGAAAATATTAGAATCACATCATTAAAAGGTCAAGAATCAGCAACTCAATTAAACCACCAAATCAAGCCACACTGAACCTTTAGAAGATTCGAAGTCCAAAAGAAATACGAAATGTCTAACACTTTAAAAAAGAATAATAAATAAACAGCTACTTCCCAGCAACCCTGAATGCCAGACTATGTTCACTACCATACTGCCAGGTCAACAAAAGAGCTGAAAGTGTAATACTTCTGTACAGATAAAAAGTAAGCAACAAATGAAAATACAGTTCCTTTATGAGACTGAAACACCACTGCAACTAAGCATACTAAAAAAAAGCCTTTCTGCTTCAGTTTTCCAATGCTTGAAAATAAGGATAAAATTTCCTTTTGCATTTACCTCTCAAGTTTTCACATAATCTGAAACACTACCAAAACAATTCAAGTACTAAAGCAAGACTCAAAAACTCAAAGGCCAAGAGAAGCCAGGCATATGTTTCCCAGTCAGTAATAAGGCAAAAATGGAGTCTTGCCCAGCCAACACACCTAATTCCAATATAGAAAAGAGGTGCCCTTCAAAAAAAGACAGAAATCGGTAGTTTAGCGTTAAACCTGATTTTTTAGATGTTGTCAACTAATTCAGTTACAATCCAAACACATGCAAGTTGAAAACATCAAATTATATCATAAATTGTAGGCATCAAAATGGCTAAAATTATAAGATAGCTAATATCAAGTGCTAGGGAGAACATGCAGCAACTTGAAACCACTTGAGCTCTCATACTCCGCTAAAGGTAATGTAAATGTGATACCATCTGTTCAGAAACCTGTCTGAAGTCATCTACTTAGGGCTGAACATATGCATGTCCTATTGCAAGTCTGAAATTCCACTCCTAACATAAATGAGAATATAAAATGAGGTACATTCATATAACGTGTAACACCAAGCAAGAATGAGACTAAGAGGCTGCTCCTACATAACTGATCTTACAAATATGCTTAAAGAAAAGAGGCCCACAATGCTCTTATAGAGTTCAAGAAAAAGCATGAAAAAGTGAAAAATGAATCTACAATGTAGTGCGTGAAGTCAGTGGTTACCTCTGGGAAAGGACAGTGACTAGCAGAGGGTAGGAAGAGCAGGACTTCGGCAGGTCCTGATTCAGTTCTATTTCCTGATCTGAGTACTGTTATAAGCTGTTTTCATCTTGTGAAAATTCCAAAATTTATGGTCTGTATACTGTTCCGTAGGTGCGTACACTTCAACAAAAACTTTAAAACACACACAGCCCCAAGATACCCAAGGAGCCCAAACAAAGTATTTCTACAGGTGGGCCCAGCTTATCAGAGCAGATCTGACATCCCAGCTAAAGAAATAGTCTCCATTCTTACACCTGAAGAAGAGCAAAGAAAAAAAAGTAAAAGCAATATAAAACTATGTCAGTGACTCTACCTGATCAAGTTAACAACTAACAAAATTTAAATTTCTCCTAATAACACCTCTCAGAATGTGTCCTCCCTTTTAATTGCCTCATACACTTACCAAACCAAGTGTCTCATAAAATAAGAGTATAATACAGCTAAATGTAGAAAGTAGATCAAAAATCAAAAATAAAGTGTAGAAAATTCAACGCAAACATTAAATCACCAACACAATCCTGTTCCCTGATTCCTGAACAACCTAACTTAACTGGCCACTCACTAATAGGAGACAATTTTATCTCACCCAAAGGACCCACAATCTAGACCATTCCGAGTTACCCAGAAGCCTACAACAGACAAGAAGAGCCTTGGGCTTCTTGAGTTAAAGCAAGTCCCACAGAATCCAACCACATAATGCAACTACTTAATCAAGTAACTGTTAAATGACTAAACGCTGACTTCAAAATGCCTTCCCAGCACTGCCTGCCTGTCCTCTCAAGAACCTATCTCCCAAACACGTTCGGATCCTGAGATATGAAATGGTCCCCACCTTTGAGTCATTGCTAGTATTTATCCTCCATCTCCAACCTCACCTGTTTACAGCCCGTCCTAACTTTCATGTCCCAAATATATCACATCTATGTATTAGAAAATCCTAAAAATATCACATATTAAATTGAACACCTCCATTTTTTTAAACATGCCTCTTCCTGTAGGTAACAAAACCACTGTTCAGTTTCACTGCTTACTAATCAAACATAACAAATTAATCTGAGCCACAACTCAATACATCCAGCAAACTTACCTAGAAAATGCAAAGTTGCAGCTCCAACGTGATAAAATTCCACCAATAAAGTAACCATTCTGACAAAACATTTTAAGTTGCAAATTATTATTCTTAGCATATCACCCTCACCAAATATATCTACACTAAAGTCAGACCCATCAGAGCAAAAGAAACAATCTTAAAAACACACACTAACACATACACCCATCTCTAGGAAGACACAATAATCCTCACAGAGCAAACAGGTGCTAAAGCATCAAGCCAAATACTTAAGACCATTTACAGTTTAAAAAAAAGAGAAAGTTCTGACATCCAAGTTAAGCAGCCTATCAAATGAGTTTCAAATCTAGTAACTTTTTATAATTCCCAAGGAAGTAGGATTTTTCCACTTGGTTTAGAAATGCTCCATACACAGAAACAAACAAGGGAAAACTCGACACACCTCTACTTTTCAAGGGCAACCTTTTGTAAACTAGATTACCACTCACTAACGACGAACAAGTCACAAGGTAATAGATAATGACAAGTAAAAAAAGGTCCGCTGTCCTGAGAGAGCCGAATTCGAGGGCTCAGTCGCACACAAATGTGCGCGGCTCATGGCGAGGCACTTTTCCGAGGCTCCGAACTGAGGGTTCGCTGGATACAAAGTGGTAGAAAACTAGAGATACACCTCCGGACACCCTGCAGACTCCCGCCAGCGTTCAAGAAAACTGCGGAAATGCAAGTTTGGGTGAAATCCCGACTCAGACCGAGCACGCGAGAGACGGCTGCTCGTCGGTTCGCTCCCGATTCCTTAGAAAGCATTTCCTGCCTGGAAAACCTCTCTCCCAGAAGCCGTACACACACACACAGAAAAAAAGAAAAAGAAAAAAAACTTTTTCCGCTCTTCCAACCCACTCCTGGAAGCCGCGGAGCCCGCCCCGACCGGCACACACCCACCGGGGGACCCCTCCGCTCGGCCCGGGGCGCGCGCGCGCGCACACACACACACACACACACACTCACAGGTGCCGGCAAACTCGGCCTCTTTCCACACCCCCCGGAAGCGACACCCCCATCTCCCGCACGCCGCGGCCCATCCCCCGTCCTCCCCGCCCCCCACCCACACCCCCGCCCCCCCAAAAGTCCATCGCCCCCAGTTCCCGGGAAGCCGGCCGGCCCTCGCCGCCCGGGCGGGCCGAGGGCTGTGGGGAGGGGAGGCAGGAAGACGGAAGGAGGCCCCAGGCCTAGGCCTCTTGGAACGCTGAGGGAGGCGAAAGAGGAGGGGAGACGGGGGACCCCGCGGGCCGGGCTCCGGCGCCCCCCTTTCCCCGCCGCCCGGAAGCCCCCCGCCCCCGGGCCACACTCACTTGCCAGCCGCGGCCCGTCGAGGACCCCGCTGCTGCCGCCTCCGCCGGCTCCGGGGCCCCCCAGGTCCGGCTTCTTGGGCCCCGCGGGCGGCCCGGCTCCCCCGGCCGGGACCGCTCCGGGCGGGAAGCCGGCCCCGGGCGCGCCCGCCAGAGCCAGGGGGACGCTGTTGCTATGGAGGCCGAGGCCCGGCGCGGCCCCGGCGGCCGGGTCCTCATGCAGGAACTGACACTCCTCCCCGTAGAAGCACGTCTTATCCTTGGCGTAGTAGCGGCAGTACTTCAGCTTCACCCCCGCCGCCGCCGCCCCGCCGGGGACGCCCCCGACCCCCGGCGGGGCCACCGCCACCACCGCCGCGGCCGCCGCCAGCGAGGAGGACGCGGAGGAGGCGGCGGCCGAGGGGGGCGGGAGGCCGCCGCCACTGTTCATGGCAACGCCGCAGCCTCGTCTTCCGCCGCCGCCGCCGCCACCATAGACCGGGGAGGGAGGGACGGCGCTGCCGGGGGGCCGGAGAAAAGCCCGGGCGGGCGGGTCTGTCCCGCTGCGGGAGCCGGAGCCGCCCGGGGAGGGGGGGAGGGGAGGGGAGAGGGGAGGGAGGAGGGGGCAGGAGGGAGGGGCGGGGAGGGGGAGAGTCGGGAGTCTTTCTCACTCACTCTCGCCTTCTCTTTTCTTAAAGGGGCCGCGCGCGGGACGACGGGGTGGGCGCGCGGGCCCTCTGACAGGGACTTCGAGGGCGCGGGCTCGGGGAGTAGGGGGAGGGTAGGGGGCGCGGCGGCGGCAGCGAACGAGCGGGGAGGACGGAGGGGCCGGTTTATTTTTAAATTCTGCCTCCACTCGCTCTCTCGCGCTCTGGTTCCTCCGAGTTGTTTATTCCCTTTTCCTCTTCCTGAGACGGCCGTCGCCGCTGCGCCTGCGCGCCGGGGCGCGGGGGTTTGTGGGTAGCGGGAGCGCCAGCGGGGGAGGGGGAAGCCTGGCCGGGTGTCGGTTGGACGGGCGGGCGGTCGGCGGCCGGCGGCTGTGTTCCGACGCCGAGCCGGCTGGGGGAGTGTTCTCACGAGGCGATAGGCCTTCCCGCTTTCGTTTGTTCTCTTACTTGTAAAGCCAGAGCGTCATTTCTTAATTGAAACGACGAAATTTACGGAATGTGATGGTCATTTCTTGGGGGGGGGGGGGAATGCCTGAGGCCGCAGCCTAAGCCCTGGCTCTCCCAGCTCCGTCCGTTCGTCGCACTTCCGCGCCCTCACTTTTCCCCCACCCTTTTTTTTTTTTTCCTTCCCGCTGAGGGTGAGGAGAGCTACAGAAATGATTGCCTAAAACTCCTGGGCCTTTTATAAAAAAAAAAAATGGAACCAAAGGAGGTTGACTTAGGCAAACCCCCAGCTGAGTACAGCACCTGTTTTCTCTATTTATATTACTGAAAGCCTCCAGTAAAATATGAAAAAAATAAGATGCCACCTGGAGACAGCAATGCAGAGGCTACCCCTGAACGTTTCAGTTCTATCTGCGCCTGGGGTTCTTTTCAACAGTCTGTCTAGTCTTGATTCGAAATTCATTTTCAAAAGATAGGGTTTTTCGCGCACCCATCGCTAACGTTATGCTCCGCTGTATTAAAAAAAAAAGTTTGCAAGAGTTTTTAAGAGTTGCTATGAAGGGAAAGTATTGTTTTAGTTTTTCATCTCTGCAGTCGATTTTCTCAAAAGGCAGTTGGAAGGGAGGGGAGATGTTTGTTGGCGGTATTTGTGGCAAACAGAAGAGGTCACAGAAGTAGGAAGAGAAGGCAGTGGCCACACTGCAGAAGGAGCGGGGGTGGGGGAGTGGATTCCATAGGCCACAAACGGGTAAACCTGTGATGTTCCTTAGCTAAACTGGAAATAACATTGTATTACGTCTCCCTGTTTAAAAACATTTTCGCGTGTATGTCTGTTCAACAAATGCTTATTAATGCCTGTTACGTGTACCAGGAACTGAGCTCAGAGCTGGGGAAGCAGAAGTAAGCAAGAGGCAATTCTTTTCTGAGTGTCACATGGCTTGTTTATCCTCTGGTTGGAGAGACACATGGTACACAGGCGATTACAAACCTGTGTGTTAAGTGCTAACCTTATCACATTAGCTATTAGAGTGTGGGCTTTCTGGAGAAAAGCTGATGCCTTATTAGCAGGAGAGGAGAACGTACTTTGAATTGGGACATATCTGAGTTTTTAATCCAGTTGCCTACACTTAACAGCTGTGTTACTTGTGGTAAATAGCTTCATTTCTCTCTGCCTTATCTATAAACCAGCTAGGAATGGTTAGTTACTTTGTAAAAAATAAACTAATAATGTATATGAAGTATCCAGTGTTTAGTAAGGATTTGATAGATTGTAGCTATGTCTCTTGGTACAATAGTATTACTGCTACTAGTAGCCAGTGTGTAAGAGTGCAGGAAGGAGCTTTGCAGGCAAAGGGAACAGCTTCAGATAAAGACCTTGAGGTGAAAAAGAGCTTGGATTGTTAGAATGGTGATAGTGGAGAACTGAGTGGAGGCGGGATCATAAAATCCTTGAAAGGCACAGTAAAGGATTAGACATGTTTCTTGAGAGCAATAGAAAGTTATTACAGGGTTTTAAAAAGTCACGTAATGGCATTATCAGATTTCCCTTTAGAAAAAAAAACTGACATAAGAACTATATGATGAAAGTAAAGATGAGTTTCCACCATTTTATTGAACAAACTGAAGGTCTAGAGTTACATGAAGTTACCAGCTTGTCAGGTGCTTCCTCAGTGGCTCAGTGGTGGAGAATCTGCCTGCCAATACAGGAGCCAGGGGTTTGATCCCTGGCTTGGGAAGATCCCCTGGAGAAGGAAAAGCAACCCACTCCAGTATTCTTGCCTGGAGAATCCTGTAGACAGAGGAGCCTAGCAGGCGACAATCCACGGGGTCACAAAGAGTTGAACACGACTTAGCAGCTAAACAACAACCACAAACAGCTAGTAAATTTCAAAGCCAGGACTTCCATTCAGGCCTTCTAACTACAAAAGATGTGCTCTTTCCACTACATATTTGACCATTTCTAAGTGAGTGTGTGTCTGTGGATAGCTAGGAAAGAAGTGTCAATGGCGAGACAACAGAGCTTCATTAAATTCATACCATGTCAAGCATATCTTTCAGACAAGCCTTTGTTGAAAATCTACTGTATACAATGTACCACGCAGGTTTTGTGCTAGGCACTGATACACAGAGGTGTATAGGATACAGTGTTCGTCCTCAAGTGTAACCGGGCCTTGAGAGAAATGCCAAATGTAGAGCAAGTCACCACTCAATACCACGTTTGACAGTTTCCTATATTAAATCCCTGTGAACAAGATGGAGGAAATTAGGCTGCAATACTATGGTTAGGAGATTTCAGTGCTCTTTGATTAGTCAGTCAAAATGTTAAAGCTGGCTTTGGAGCTCATTGAACAATATCCAGAAAGTATTGATAAATTGACCACATATCAACATGGTCTTTACTGACCTCTTTTGGACTCTGTTTTTAACCTATTTTTATGAAAAAAAAATTATCGACTGCCTAGATGATGAAATACATGACAAATTTAGCAGATCTGCGATGTTTTGGGAGACCAGTGGAAGTCAGATCAGTTCAGTTCAGTCGCTCAGTCATGTCCGACTCTTTGCAACCCCATGGACTGCAGCACACCAGGCCTCCCTGTCCATTACCAACTAACAGAGTTTAGTCAAACTCATGTCCATTGAGTTGGTGATGCCATCCAACCATGTCATCCCCTGTCATCCCCTTCTCCCACCTTCAATCTTGCCCAGCATCAGGGTCTTTTCAAATGAGTCAGTTTTTCGCATCAGGTGGCTGAAGTATTGGGGTTTCAGCTTCAACATCAGTCCTTCCAATGAATATTCAGGACTGATCTCCTTTAGGATGGACTGGTTGGATCTCCTTGCAGTCCAAGGGACTCTCGAGAGTCTCCTCCAACACCACAGTTCAAAAGCAGCAATTCTTCAGTGCTCAGCTTTCTTTATAGTCCAAATCTCACATCCATACATGACCACTGGACAAACCATAGCCTTGACTGGACAGACCTTTTATGGAAAAGTAATGTCTCTGCATTTTAATATGCTGTCTAGGTTAGTCATAACTTTTCTTCCAAGGAGTAAGGGTCTTTTAATTTCATGGTTGCAGTCACTATCTGCAGTGATTTTGGAGCCCAAGAAAATAAAGTTTGTCACTGTTTCCCCATCTATTTGCCATGAAGTGATGGGACCAGATGCCATGATCTTAGTTTTCTGAATGTTAAGCTTTAAGCCAACTTTTTGACTCTCCTCTTTCACTTTCTTCAAGAGGTTCTTTAGTTCTTCACTTTCTGCCACAAGGGTGGTGTCATCTGCATATCTGAGGTTATTGATATTTCTCCTGGCAATCTTGATTCCAGCCTGTGCTTCATCCAGCCCAGCGTTTCTCATGATGTACGCTGCATATATAAGTTAAATAAGCAGGGTGACAATATACAGCTTTGACATACTCGTTTTACTATTTGGAACCAATCTGTTGTTCCATGTCCAGATCTAACTGTTGCTTCCTGACCTGCATACAGAATTAGGAGGCAGGTTGGGTGGTCTGGTATTCCCATCTCTTTAAGATTTTTCCACAGTTTGTACTGATCCACACAGTCAACGGCTTTGGCATAGTCAATAAAGCAGAAATAGATGTTTTTCTGAAACTCTCTTGCTTTTTCAATGATCCAGCAGATGTTGGCAATTTGATCTCTGGTTCCTCTGCCTTTTCTAAAACCAGCTTGAATATCTGGAAGTTCATGGTTCACATACTGTTGAAACCTGGCTTGGAGAATTTTGAGCATCACTTTACTAGCGTGTGAGATGAGTGCAATTGTGTGGTAGTTTGAGCATTCTTTGGGATTGCCTTTCTTTGGGATTGGAATGAAAACACCTTTTCCAGTCCTGTGGCCACTGCTGAGTTTTCCAAATTTGCTGGCATATTGAATGCAGCACTTTCACAGCATCATCTTATAGGATTTGAAATAACTCTACTGGAATTCCATCACCTCCACTAGCTTTGTTCATAGTGATGCTTCCTAAGGCCCACTTGACTTCGCATTCCAGGATGTCTAACTCTAGGTGAGTGATCATACCATTGTGGTTTTCTGGGTTGTGAAGATCTTTTTTGTGTAGTCCTGTGTATTCTTGCCAATATACAATGCAATCAATGACAGATTAGGATTTGTAAATCTCCATCAGCTGAAAAAAGTGCAGCAGTGCTAACAAGATGAAACCTCAAATAAATTTAGGAAAACAGAGCAAACACTCTTTAATAAAGCATTGATAATACAGCCTCACCCACTTCCCCCCACCCTGCATCCTCAAAGCAAGTTAGCAGTGTTTTTTTAGAGGCCTTTAAAATGTACATCATTATTATTCTGCT